GTTGAGTTACTTCACAGAAGTGGTCTCAGGGACTTCACGGTTGACAAAGCACGTAAAGAGGTGCACCCTTGTATCCCGATCACTAAGAGACGTAGACATTAAAGCAAGGGCTATCTCCAGAGAAGTTCAAGGCTCTCTGAATGCCTCTCTGGAGTGAGTGCCATTGGTAAGATGGAGCATCTGCCTGACGTTCCGAATTGCATTCTTATCTAAACCAAAAAGGGAGTAGTAACAATGAAAGATTTTATTTATTTATTCATGAGAGACACACAGAGAGAGGGAGAGGCAAAGACACAGGCAGAGGGAGAACCAGGCTCCATGCAGGGAGCCCGATGTGGGACTCGATCCCAGGACCCCAGGATCATGCCCTGAGCCAAAGGCTGACGCTCAACCACTGAGCCACCCAGGCATCCGGCACACATTACATATATTTTATTATTCTTTTGACTTGTACTTTATTATGTTGGCCTTCCAACAGATAGGCCCCTTGGGTTAAAAGAAACCAAACTGGCTAGAAGTGAACTGCTGAATAAAATAAACCCCTTGCACATTCTTCAAAGGAGCCCATGTATCTTGTCAAGAGAATGGACAGTCCCACCCAGCACACCAGGCATCCTTTGTTCCTCTAAGATGAACACAAGCTCCTTCTCCCCAGCGGCATCACAGGCCAGGGGCACGTCAGAGGGCAGCAGCCCACGACGCCTCTCAGAGAGATCCAGCCCTGGCAGGATCCTGAGGGAATGTTCTCATGTAGCCTGAGTTCTGAAACGGGCAGTGAAATGTCGGAGGCCGAAGAGTGATATTCCCATATGAGAAAGCTCTACCATCAAGAGAAAAAAATATCCCTTCATTCCAGCACGATGCCCTCCTCTGGTGGTAGGGTCACTGGGTGCACAATTTTGATTTTCAGATTAAAAGGTCCTGAAGCTTTTGTGACTGGCTGGGTAATCCTTTGCCACACAGACGCATTGTCCCACTTGAACTCGCCACAAATGGAGAATAAGCTGCTTCCATGAGCTCCTTAATTTCCGCAGAGGCTGAAAAATCTCCCTGGCAACTCGGGGGCAGATTTGCATCCATGCAGGGGGATTTGCACAGCCGGTCCCACCCCCACTGGTCCCAGGCACACAAAAAGACTTCTATTTTTTTTTTTTTCAGGGATTACATGGAGGACAGAGAAAAGAGCAGCCAACGCACGTGACCCAGGGCACGGTGTGAATAGCTGGGCCGAAGCTGGCGCTGTGATTCTGTGGCTCATTTACTGCATGGGGTTCCTTTCCTGAGGCTCCAAAGGACTTGGTTGCACTCCACCCATCAAAATCCTAATAACGCTGCATATCCTTGAATGCTCAGAGCACCTTCCGTGCAAGAACTCAAAAGCACTTTGACTTATTAGGAATGAAATAAAGAGGATGCTCAAAGAAACCCTTAACCCTAAGGTCTACTGTGTTGAGCCAAAGTTTCAGACAAGGCCTTCTAAGAAAATCATCTTATTCCAGCCCTTAGAGCCACTTCCACTTTGACGCTTTGGCCCTGTGCTCAGGCACCCTGGGCTGGCCGGGCTCATCCACTGGAGGGACCAGCCTGCAGCAGCCCCAATCTGTCCAGCCCCCACATGGTGCCCCAAAGTCCCCCCCACCTCTCCAGACGTTTTGCTGAGCGTGGAGTCCTGAGCAGGATAATGAGCCCCGTCTTGTCTTCTTGCCAATTGATGTGATCGGAGCCAATTCCTTCCTCTGTTCCCAGAGGTTCAGGGCAACCCGAGAGAATGGGAGCCTAAGAGGATTAAATGTCCACTGAGGAGGGACTCCAAAAACAAATGGGGCAGGCATTGGAGAGGGCAACGTGGGGCGGGGGGCTTGTACATGTTGAAGGCTGTAGGTTTTTGTGACATAATCTCATCTCCAATTCTAGGGGCAAAGGAGGAAGATGGAGATGCTGAGTTTTAAGTAAGTTCTAACATCATGTGTGGGGGCCAGAGTCCCTAACCCCTTCTTTTGCTCCCAGATGTGACAACTAGGAAAAATGGCTTAAAAATGTGCCAGGCCTCCAGGGTAACTTAAAATATAATATTTACTCATAGGTGCCATCAGTTTTCAAATCGGCACATTTACAACATGAAGCAAAGTCAGACTATATCATATTGCTTCAGAGGTGCAACTAGAATGAGTCGGATGCCTTGTACCTGAGAGCTGTGTCCTACCCTACACTGTCCTCTAGCTTGGAAATGGATTTTAAATATTACATGACTTATTATTTATTAAAGAAATATGAATTTGGAAGCTAAAGACGGCTGGTTTCACATTGATATGAACAGCCCTGTAGTTATCATTGAGTGTGCTATTTCATTCCATTCCTCATATCTGTGAACAGGCCAGCATCTGTCGGTTCCGAGACTATGATTTTTGACAAAAATGAACCCCCCCAGCAGTCTGATTAAAATGGTGCATGGTATTACTGTTTTTTGTTTTGTTTTTTGTTTGTTTGTTTTTAACTAGGAGATAAGACTCGACAGCAGAGTGGTAGGACTTCACACACTGTTGATCATCCCCCTCATTTCCACCTCATCCCATGCTTTGAATGTGGATTCTGGAAAACAGAGTCCTGGTTACATGAGTAATGGGATGCCAGGGCCTGCAGCCTCGTTCAGTTCTCCTGACAACTGCCTGCATCTGGAAAACATTAAATAGCCTCATCCTTTATGTGGATCCATTATGTTCTATCAAACTCATTATCAATTATCAGCTGATGGTGAAGAATGTTTGAAATCAAAATGAAGGAAATAATTAAAGATGAAGAAAGGGATCTAAAATGAAAGCTGAAGTTCTCCGGTTGATATGACAAGGAGACTAGTGCTGTATGTTCTCTTAAATGCAATGGCTTTTGATATACTTTTTTTAAACCAGAAGATAAGAAATTTGGCTCTATTTTACATGATAAGAAGCAAAGCCAAAGTCTAAGTTGATACATATCTTAAACAGCACTTAGAAGGTTTGTGTCATGGCCACAAAGCCCGGTTTTTGGCATATTGCTATCTACAAGGGGAAAACTTAAATAAGCACCACTTCTCTCAGAATGGAACCCCAAAGCAGCAGGAAAATCTTTCCCATGGACACTACCCATGGCACCCAACTCCCTTACAAACCACCGACTTAAGTGCTAGGACCCTGTCAACCTGGGATGGATATCGACCTTCACCAGATGGCTGTTCCTGTGTGAGTTTCGAACACCTTAGAAACTGGTGCTCAGGATGTGTAGTCCTACACTAGGCAGGGAGGCTGGTTTCTGTGCCACGAGGGCCTCTGCCCCATCAGCAGCCCAGCAGAAACAGAAGGTCCATCCATCAGAAGGTACCAGCCCTGAGATTCCAGAGCCTCTACCTGTGTTAACTAACAGGTGTGCACATGATCGATCACATGTGATCACCAGGGTGGGGAGAGGGGACCATCATGTTCCCCTCTTGAGCAGGTCAGAAAGGCAAGACTAAAGTGCTTGAACCTTTCAGGCCAGAAATACAAATCATCAGAGTGGGGGGGGGGGGAGGGGAGAGACTGAGGGTGGAGGAGAGAGAGCCCTGAGCTCATTATCAAGAGGTCTTTCTTCTCTAGCCAGCTTCAGAGAACCATCTGTTAATGTGGCCAGGAAACGCTGGCTGGGAACTCCACAGAGGAGCTGAGAGGTGCTGGCAGCCTGGCACCTGTGTAAATGTCTGTCACAGCAAGAGTGACCCCATAATCACCTCGACCTGTTTAAGCAGAAGCTTCCCATCAACCTGAGCCTGATTTTAGCGCAGTCCACTAACCCCCCGCCCAGGAGAAAGCCAGCACCAGGGTGCGCCATGGAAGTTTCAGCTCTTCCCTGAGGGAGGGGAGAACATCCCACTCACTGGGTCCTGACATCAAGGACTTTACTGGAAGTACCCCAGCTGGGTGCTTTCTTCTGATTCATCAGCACTTTCAGCCAGAATGCTTGGGATCCATTGTTTGTAAAGTAAACTCAGAATCCAAGTTTAAACATCAGGGGAAAGGAGTGTTTGAAGCCCCTCTGGAGTCCAAGCAGCTCTCAAAAGCTCCCATTTCAATATTCCCACCTGCCCTGCATCCCCTTTCCTGCTTCCTCAATCCCCCCATGATGTGCTGTGTTGTTTTCAACTTGTATGAGAAGGAATTGTTATGCACTGAATTTATGCTAGAAGCCAATTTCAGTAAGTCAGTTGATTATCAGGTACGTGTAAGTGCTCGAAAAGCCACACAATGCCTGGGGGACCTCTTGTGTTTTAGCTTTCCTGTAGCCCAAAGTCCAAAGCTCTGTTTGAGCATCGTATAACCTATATGGGGATAAGGCGCATGCTACCATACAGATTGGTACTGCTAGTTTCAAGTTAAATGTTGATTGAATAACATTAATTAACATTAATTAATTAATATTAGTTAAATGAGTACACAAGGGGATCCCTGGGTGGCGCAGCGGTTTGGCGCCTGCCTTTGGCCCAGAGCGCGATCCTGGAGACCCGGGATCGAATCCCACATCGGGCTCCCGGTGCATGGAGCCTGCTTCTCCCTCTGCCTGTGTCTCTGCCTCTCTCTCTCTCTCTGTGACTATCATAAATAAATAAAAATTTAAAAAAATAAATAAATGAGTACACAAGGAAATGATTTCAAAAAGTAAAAACATCACCCTACAGGTGCACACTCACCATGTCCCTGATAATAAAGGCAACACTAACTAAGGTAATTCTAAGGTAGCACTATACTCATTATAACCCTAACAGAAAAATCTAAGAAACATAAAGCCTAGCATTGGCGGGATAGTCAGTAAGCCATTCAATTTTCTGTGGCAGTGTGAATTGCTCTGATATTTCTGGCGCTGTATGCATGAAAGTAAAGCTTGCTGTTCAGATTTAGCCTTTATCATTCCAAATATCAGCCTCCCCATCCAGAAATAGCCTAAGAAAAAAATTAAATGACTTGTGAAAAAGTAGAGGAAAATTAAAATCAACTTCAATGCATTCCGGGCCATTTTTGTACATGATATTTTGCACCATCGAACTGTCTGAATGAAGGTGACGTCATGGAGCTTTCACAGTAATGACGGCGTGCAGTTTCAAGGCCGAGGACGGTGGAGTGTCCAGGTGAAAGCATGAGCTGATGTGGGGAGTGTCCAGGAGCTCTGCTTTCCCCAGCCAGGCCCCTCCCACAGTTGGAATTGAGGCCTAACCCGCAGTGCCCGCAGGGGAAGGCCTCACCCACCAGGGCGGACAGGTAAGGCAGTGCGCACAGGGGTGAAGGGCATACACTTGAACTCGGGCTGCGCGTGCTTGCTTCGTAATTGTGTGACCGACCTATCTTCTTCTGCGCCGCAGTGCTTCCCATCTGTAAAAGAGCAATAATAATCTTGGCCACCTCCTAATATCTTGTGTAGGATTAAATGAGTTAATATTTGTGAAGCTCCTAAAAATCTGCCAAGCTTCTTTTATGAGCTTGTTTAAAAATGTTCATCTTATAAATAAACACTCTTAAGGTACAAACTGGACTTTTCCAGATCTCCACGTGCTGGCCAGGAACTGTGGCAGCCTCTGGGCAGCTGGGAGTGGTCTCTAGCCCATGGCTAGCCATGAAACAGGGACCTCAGTCCTACCAGATGAGGAATTCCATTCTGCCATGAGGCTGAAAGAGCTGGGATGATGACCCTGGGCTCTGATAGAGCTGTGGGGTGGCCGACGCCCTGACTGGGGTCTTGTGAGATCCAGAGCAAAGGGCCCAGCCAAGGAATGCCCTGACTGGTGTGTACAGAAATGCAAGGCAATAAATGGGTTTTGCTTTCAGCCACTACGTTTGTGGTGATTTGTTACACGGCAATAGATAGCTCATAAAGACAAGAAAAAAGTCCACTTCATCAGCAGATATGATCTTTGAGTTGCTTCAAGGGGTATTAATTTTTCTTTTCCATATGGTGTAAAAGCTGGCTGCTTTAGTGACTGAATATGTTCCACGATGAGATGCACACCTAACTACGTTCTTTCTTGGAAATACAATTTGCTAGCATGAAGGTACAGAGACTTTGGATGGTTCGAGTTCCCCAATTAGAGAGGGATTTTGCAAGTGACACATCAATTCTTATTTCTTTTCCCCATAGAATATGAGGGAGAGAGAAAACAAGAAATCCCAGGAAGCTAATCAGGAAAACAGAACCATTTAGTAACCCATGTCTGTAAGATGAAACTTTATATACAAACATTTGTTTAAGATGGACATGTGCAAAGTTTAATAAGAAGTAAGAGCAAATGATCACTGAATTCTGTTTTTATCACTTCCATTTCCCTCTTACTTTTATCAATGCCCAGCCGTGTACTCCTGCATACTGCACTCTGGCTCTAGACTATATGTGAATTTTGCTTCTTTAATTAATGTTATTTCACATACATATGCTGCTCCATATCTCATTACCACCCCCCACTGTGGAATGCCTAAAGAACATGGATTCTGGGTCATAAAACTTGGCTTCACGGATGCTTCTTGATGGCTGTGATCTTTTCAAGCTGGTAACTTAATAGCTCTGAGCTCCCTTCTCCTGAGCAGTAAAAGGGAGCGTCAGTAATACCACACTCAGAGGCGTGAGCATCAAGTCAAATGTGGACGTAACGGATCTCCAGCCTTGTGAACTGGTAAGAGGTCTGCAAGGTTGATTCCAAGTCCCCTTTCTCTGACAGCCTTGCACCTACGCTCACATCGGAGCAGAGTAAGTTCGGCCAACTACTACGGCCTCCGAGCAGCTCTGCACACGTGCCTCACAGTCTGAGGAATGAAGAGAGTGACAGGCCAGCCCCACGAGAGCTGGGGGAGCAGCTCCTGGGACAGGGCCCGGCGCTGTAGGGTGTAGCCTGTACTGAAGGCCAACTGAACAGCTCGTATGGCAGCCACTGGAAACAGGACGGGAGCCCACACTCATCAGCACTGTAAGGACTCCTTTCCTTTCAGGCCAATTCAACTCTGCAATTCTGGCCAAAAAAAAAAAAAAAAATACAAAACAGCCCCTAGAAGAATTCCTCCTCTCCTCTCCAGAAGGTCCATAGGGTGAAGGGGAGAAGGCTGTGATTCTGGGTGAGGGAGATAGCTCCGGCTGCAGGTCTCAGTCCTGCCCCTTTGTGACCGGGCCTTGCCCTGCTTCATGACACCCATCCCATACTCTCCCATATGCCCCGCACCTATGAACCCAGGCTGGTGGCACTGGTTCCCATCCCATCCAAGTGAGGGAGGATATGGGGGTTTACTGGTAACCACGACGTCATTCTAACTTGTTTTAAGAACCATGTAACTTGTAAGGTTTGATGAAGTCCAGCTCCGAGATCAGATTCCGAAGTTTTCTTGCCAGCTCCCTACCACTGGCCACCTGTGCTGGGTAAACAGCTTCAACTCCTCACGCTCCATTTCCTCCACAGTAGGTGGCAAAAAGGATGGACTGTCTTCACAGGGTCCTTGTGAATACCCATCGAAACATAGACATAAAGTGTTCACGGGTCTGCAGTACAGTGGTGCTTTATAAGTGTCACCAACCAGCAGTAGTGACAGCAGTGTGAAAAGGGGGGTCTTGACCCACTGGCGCATCACTGAGCAGCGGTCCAGATGCTGTTCTGAGGAGCATCACTGAAGTGGAACAGAAACTCTTCCCACGTGGAACATTTGAGTCTTCCCTCATCCTCCAGCCCTTGGACTATGTCTCAGCCACCCCACTGCCTCAGGTCCATACGTCCAAGCACTGCACAGTGTTACCCTCATCCTCAGGCTTCACGATGCAGATGACAAAGCCCAGAACAGAGGACGGGACTGCCCCTTGTCTCAGCTCTCTGCCTGGTACTGAAGCATACATAAACAACAGCACGTAGAAGCTAAGAAGGATGCGAGTGACAGTTTGCACCAGGCCAAAAGAGAAACCCGAATTCTTAGTGCACCCCACCTAGCTAATGGAAGCCTTCCTGACGCATTCACACCTCAGCTGTCACCCTGCTGAGCAACAAATCCTCCCTTGACATTGATAATGATAACCCTTAAAGCTTCGCTAGCGCTAGCGAGGCTTCCGTCCTTCATCATCTCGCTCTCGGGTGGCCTGAAGGTCCACACCCACACCATCGACACAATCAGCCCTTTGCCGGAGGCAGGACTTTCTTTAGGGTGGCAGGGTAATATTTTGGAGCGAGCCTCCTCTTGGCTGGTTGTGCATTCTCACTCTGTCCAAGTGCTTACTCTGCATCTCCAGCGCTCCACAACGGCACGGCCGATGGATGGGTCCTGTTCCTCAGGGGGACGCACTTACACACACTAGCTGGTTGTCACTTACATAGCACCTGCTGCGTGCTGCACACCGCTGTGAGCGAGCCACACTGGCTCACTTACTCCTGATACTACATTTTCAAGAAGAGAGAAGTAACTTCCCCATGTCACACAGTGAACGGCATCACGGGCTCAACAGCCTTTCCATTGTTGGATAGGACAGGAAAGAGTCTAGTTTTTATTGTTTACCATGTGTTGAGGGCTTTCGATGCATGTGTTTCCATTCAGTCTTAACACCTCAGGAGGTAGAGATGTTTACTATCACCATACACATCCACAAGCCCACCCACTCTTTACATTCTGTTTTTTGCTTTCATTATACTCTGTGCTCCGCAGCATAGTGCAAATTTTACTTTGTTGCTTGTTCTTTCTCCCCCTTAGAATGCAAATGGTGGGACTCTACCCCTTTTTCCCACTCTACCTAGAACATGGTATGTAATTGGTGCTCCATAGGAAACTATTGAACAAATACCCGTTTTACAGATGGGAAAACAAACTCAGCAGCTGTCTAACTTACTCAGGGTGGCAGAGCTGGTTAGTCACAGGCCTGGGTTTTGAACTCTGGACATCCTCACCCAGAGCCCACACTCTTCACTGCTCTTATCATCAGAAAACATATATATTGAGAGGCACCTTTTCTCTAGTATTTTCACTTATCAATCCACTTCCCATTCATTGATAAAAAATAAGTCTCATCTCCATTCTCCTTAACCATCTTCCACATTTGCGAACAATTATCATTTCCTCTTATCCACCCCTGGGTCTTCAACACAAAGCAGCTTTTCCACCTCTCTCTCTCTCTCCCGGACGTGTTTTTGTCCTTCTAGAAGCATGATGCTGATCTCACCTCAGGGTGCGGAGAAGTAGAAGAACAAGCAAATGGAAGCCCCATTGCACAAGGGGCACTCGCACACTCCTGCTCCCCACTGTCACCTGCTGCTGGCACCCCAACAAGGGGCCCAGCCAACTTGTCTTCCTCCTGCCGATTGACATGGCGAACTCCAGGTCGCAAGTGTGTGTCCACATCCTCCGCGAAGACACCGCCACGTGGGCAGAGGGAAGAAGGGCCACGAGCAGCCTGGCTATCCCCTCCGCGAGGCAGAGGAAGGAGGCCAACCTCCTGCAGCTGAAATCAAGACTGAACAGGCCTGCGCCCACGTCCCGTCCTCTGTGTTCAGGCTGGGTGCTATCACATTCCTCACATAATTTCCCGTCCTCGTGCCTGCAAGGGGCACCACTTTGTGGGAAGTGCACACTTGCCTAATAGCACGCAGTGCCTCGCGGCCATGTGGGCACCCTTTGCCCGGGGCTCCCATAGACTGTGGCGGCTGGAACAGAGCAGACGCAGGTAGGAGACCGGGAACCTGTCCATTAGGTCCCAACCCCAGAAACCCCGAATGGCGTCTGTCATTCTGACTTATATATATTAAAAAACAAAACAAAACAAAACTGAGAAATCTCTCCTTCACGTCTATCTCAGGGCAGCATGGTAGATTTTGCTGAGGGCCAATCTGCACGTAAGTCATCTGCAAAACCTGGAAGGCAAGGCTGCCTGGCCACCACTCATGTATCCAAGATCAGACCCTCCTATCAAGCCTTTCACCATCACCATTCTGGAGACAATCATGCCCATCTGCTCTCCTGCACCAAATCGAGGGTGGCTCAGTTCCTCCTCCATCACCAACAGTGAGCCAGGCTGGAGCAATTTGGGGTGCTATGGGGCATATCGTGACAAAGCACTTCTCTCCATGCTACTATTTATCTTTGAGCCTTGCCTTTCTTGGAGGTAGCCTGCATGACTTTACTAAGTTCTGGCCCTTAGAGATCTCTCTTCTGGAAGCTTCCAGAACATTCTGTACACTATCACACCTCATGGAATTGTGGCTTGGCAGACATTAAAATACCCATTTTCCAAAAGGGTTCTTTGACATTAGCAGCATTCAGAAGCGCTTGGAAATGGCACCAAAGCAAATATTCTAAGTACAAATGACCATTTTGATCTTGACGGTCACCTTCGCAGACCCCGCCGGCAGCTCTGCTGACTGGCTGGTAGTTAGGCACCAACGAGTAAGGGCCGCGGCCCGCCCCAGGCCCCCACGTAGCCACGGTAGCTCTAAGCTCCAACCCAAAGGCTGCCTGGCATGGGAATAGTGCCTGTCCCTTTGCTGAGCAGCGGGTGCACTGGGCGTCCCCCGTTCCCCTCAAAGGTGGTGTTCGTCCAGCACCAGGTAGCTTGACTCATCCTAAGGCAACGGGCTTTGGCTTTCCCTTTGGAAAGAAAACTGTAGGGAGGCCGTGGAGAAGAGTCCCGATGGTGTCCATAGAAGGCAAGCATCACTGCCACTGCTTGACCTGGAGACGAGGCTTTGGCTTCTGCCAGCGTGGACGGGGAAGCAGGTGCCCTCTCAGGCATGGCTGGTCTCCCTCCTCAGCGGGGCTTCTCCGCAGTCCCTTTTACATCCAGCAGCCAGAGTCATTCTCTTGGCACTTGTCTTCTCAGGTCCCTTTTTGCTTTAGCCTGCAAAGGCTTCATACTCCTGTCAGAACACAATTCAAACTCTCTGCCCTGATGCCCATGGTCCTCCTGGCCATGGCCCTGCCACAAATGCCTGCCCCTGTCCTGGGGCTCCTTCTCTTGCCCCCTGCCCCAGCACACAGGCCTGCTTTCTTTTTTCCTGAACTTGCCAAGCATATTCTCACCTTACAGCTTTAACTCACTCTTCCCTTAGCCTGTAGTATTCTTCTCCTTGATTTTATTTATTTTAAATGTATTCAATCAACACTAACATAGCAAGGGATGTAGGGACACAAATCATAAATACCTACTCATCTTCCCTGATCTTCTGGTAATTGTTCCTCTTGCTTTCTCCTTTCTTTTTTTTTTTTAAGATTTGTTTATTTAAAAAAAAAAAGATTTGTTTATTTATTTATTTGAGAGAGAGCAAGAGAGAGAAAGCATGCCAGCAGGGGAAAGGGCAGAGGGGGAGGAAATTCTCAAGCAGACTCTGTTCTGAGCATGGAGCCTGATGCAGGGCTCGATCTCACAACCCTGAGATCATGACCTGAGCCAAAACCAAGAGTCAGATGCTTAACCAACTGTACCACCCAGGTGCCCGTTCTTACTTTTCACATCTCAGCTTATAATGTTAAGCCATCAGAGAGGCCCTTCTGGATCATCAGCACTAGCACTGGATCAGTATCCAGTCCCTAAACCCTGTTTTCATTCTTTGCTTTGCAGCTACTGCTGCTTGCTGGTTTCTTTCTTACTGTCTATCTCTCCTATTGGGATGTAAGCTCCAGGAGGACAGGCCAGTTGTGTCCTTAGAGTCTAGGATGGTCCTGGGGGCATATCCTCAATCATTCATTTTTGTATAATGAATGAATGTATAGAACACTGAGAATTTCCCCCCTAAATTTCAGTGCCCATACGACTTTCAACATAGGCACAATTATTTCTTCACAAACTTGTAGGAATGTGATGGTCTTCTGGTCACACATGGGAAAGAAATTCAGTTGCATAATATAAATGACCATTTGAACCCAGAAAGAGAAAAATATGTCCCAAGAACCCAGTCATAAGAACAATGTTTTTGCCTTCAATGTTTGCTTAACACCACTGTTCTATTCCTTTGGGTCTCCTACTAGATACCCAATTCCTCTGACATTTAAAAACAAAACATGCTTCTATGACAAAAATATCATCCATTCCCTACGTCACCCATCTTTGAAGATCCAAAAGGTATCTTTGTCCTATATATTGATAACTAAAGAAAAATTAATTCTTAGGTCTTAAATTATCATTAAACATATACACAGAACTGGAAAGAAACTTGGGATTGTCTATTTCGCTCAGAGACTTTTTAATACCTTTTTTCTTAACCAAGACCCACAATATAAATTATATTTTATATCAGAATCTGTTACTCATACAAATACATAGCTAAACTGAGCAATTCATAGAACACTCCACACCCTAACCACATACAATGTTCTCCTATATTTATGTTCTATTCTATTCTATTCTGTTCTATTCTACTCTATTCTATTCTTCTATTCCATTCTATCACATCCTTCAAAAGGCTGGCTCTACTCACCAAGCTGATTTCACAACCCACTAAGTTTATAAACTAAAGTTTGAAAATGCTGATTCTAATCCTAACCCCCTTTTTCTTTGCGCAGAAGAAAACACAGCCCAGAAGGTTGTGAATTGCCCAGGGCCCAATAGCTAGTACAGAACTGGGATGGAGCCCAGCATCTGATTAATGCTTCCTATCTGAACAATTGCTTCAACTCTCCAGTGTGAACCTCTGATCACCTGGGAAGAAATTCCATCTGTTAACGCATTGTCTTTTGTAAAGTTTGAAATTTAAGCAGTACTTAGATATTAGCAGTTCATAGACAAGGTCCAGTTGCTGACACTACATCACAAATAGGATGCCATTTCCACTCCAATGTGATCAGTCCATCTGCTGACCTAGTAGACCATCCCCCTACCCAGAGTGAAAGACACTCCTGAAAGGCACACCCTCAGCCTGACAAAGTATGTGTATATGTATAGACTATTGTGCCCCAGAGGGCTAATTACATTGCAAAACAAGTTGTTTTCTCACGTTTTTCTCAAAGAGAAATGACCTGCTCATCTAAGATCTTACATACAGAGGAAAGATGTTTCATGAGATGATAATTCCAAAGGAGGATTTCAGGCTCAAAGTTAAATGGCTAAATACACACTGGAATTAATATCTTCATTCATTCTAAATATGAGGTAAGCTCTAGAACTCAAAAGGAAAGGTTTTAGACATTCCAAGAAGGGATCTGAGCCAATAATGTACGATATTTTTTCTAGGTTTAAGGAAAAGAATAAGAAATACCAAACTTTACATGTACACTCTTGGTGGATGGTTTTGAGAAAGAGTAGCAAGGCCCTCAGAGAGAGACAGAAGTTGCCCCTGATTTATCAGTAAGAATGTACTGAGCTAGGTAAGAGCAGCACCTGCATCTGTGACAACTTTGCACACAGTGTATAAACAGTAAACTAAAAATACAAGCAAGTGGGGCACCTGGGTGGCTCAGTGGTTCAGTGTCTGCCTTTGGCTCGGGTCATGATCCTGGGGTCCTGGGATTGAGTCCCCACATCAGGCTCCCCGCAGGGAAGCAAGCTGGCAGTTGAAACACTCCCAAAGGACAAGTCAACCGGGGCAGACAGGCAGCATGAAAATCCCAAACCAATGAATGGGATGAATTTGGCCCAGACAATGGTGGTCAGTTCACCTGGTCTTTGTACCTTTATTTTTGGCTACTGTCCTCTTCCAGGGTCCCAGACAATGAGCCATCATGCTCAGGGTCAGGAATACTGCTTGCCCTGACTCAGGAAGCAGCAACTAGACTCGCCGTTTGTTCAGCCCATAAGTCACGTCTCCTGCTGTCTGAGCCTTCTTCCCACACAGCAGAACCTGGGGCACCGCACCTGAGCTGGAGTGGGAGGGCCACATGCCAAGACTGGGTGTGGCCCTTCAGGTGGAACTTGCCCCTGGGCTCTGATGCTTAGAGACAAGGGAACCAAGCTGGAGAAAACACCTCAGGTAGAAACCAAAATTAGGAGCAAGGTAGTCCTTCCGAGGGAGGATCAGACTGAAGAAGCCAGGCACAAGGGGAATGGGGCTTGAGGCAGTAGGACAAGAGTATGGTGAGTAGTTAAACTTGGAGGAATTCCTTGAGCTATTCCAAGGCCAGCTCTTTGAAGGATAGGCTAACACAGCATGGTAGAGTATTTTATGTAGTAAAGGTATGGCTTGTCCAGTGAAAAATTTTTTCATGTAAGTGTATGGGTGCTGGGTTGTGACGGCAAACACAACTTCTCCTGGAGGTCTTGGTTAAAGAGATGGACTTTGGTTACCCACTGCCGCATGCCCGGGAAGTTGCTAGGGTACACAGTTCCACCAACAGCACTTCCCCAAGAGGTGACCCAAGTTTGCCCAACACAACACTCCTCACAGCCCCAGGGGCCTTTGCTTGGTGTCGGCTACATTGCCTCCTATACCTCAAAGGGCAATTTTCTGGGTCGGCCTGGCCTGAATAAAGTGTGCTTGGCCCCGTAGACCCTGCCCTGCACCCACCACCCCACCCTAACCCCACGTGGCTACTTTTTCTCAAATTAAGAGCTATGACGTTAGCCAGGAATGGTGATCTGAACAATAAAGAACACGGAGAGGTGGTGCCTGGAGCCCACGAAGCATATTCATTCACAGACAATAATCCAGCAAATTATTATTCTCTCCATTATTCTCAATCATTATTGATAAATCACTATACCTCTTATGGACCCATGAATTTTGTAATACATATTTATTTTTTAAAATATTTTATTTATTTATTCATGGGGGTGGGGCAGAGACATAGGCAGAGGAAGAAGCAGGCTCCCTGTGGGATGCCTGAAGCCGATGAAGTGGAACTCCACCCCAGTCATACCCTGAGCCAAAGGTAGACGCTCAATCACTGATCCACCCAGGTGCTCCTGTAATACATATTTAAATCAAGTTGTACAAATAGGGACCTCATGAAAAATGTTGGTCCAGAGCCCTTCAAACCCCGAAACCAGCCCTAGTGAAAAGGGTGGCTGTCCGATCTTGGCCTTGATCTTATATTTAATCCTTCGCCTTGGTGGCCTCCTTCAAATTGTGTCCATAGTGCCCACATGGTGCTAGACCTAGAGGCAGTCCTCAATAAATATGTTCTGGAAAAAAAGAGAGTTGGTAACACTGGTAATGCCCCCAGTGTTTCATTTCTGACTTTTGCAAAAGCAGGGTATGATAGGGAATTGCCCTAAACAGTGAAATAATAAAAGTACTTTCAGACGGTGAATGTGAAGGTCAGATTATAGGCAGACTCCAGATGGAAGTTCAGTTTCAGAAAAGTAAGGTTCTCAGCATAGAGCCTCTCAGAGAGGCCACCACGAGGCAGAGGGCATGGGGGCCGGGTGTGGGCAGTGGGACACGGGAGCTCTGTCTTTGACCTCCGCCGGGTGGCCGACTCTACTACAGATTAGCAAGCATGCAGGAAACCACAGGGGCAGCCACTTCGGCTAAGAAGGGACACGCTCTCAAATGGTAAACCCACAAATGAACGTACAAGTTCAGAATTCATAAGTGTTCCAGAAAGACAGCACAGTTTAAAAGCAGTATGCATTTCATTATGAAGCAAGTTTACTGATTTGTTTCAGTTTTATGCCACTGGAAGGATATATCTTGGCAGGATTTCCATGTTCAGATCGCTCCCTCATGCTGCTTTTGAGTTTTTCCTTCCTTAGTTATGACCTCTACCAGAACCCTTGACACCAAACTGAGATGTTCTTCAACATGCTGCAAATGCCAAGCCAAGGCACTTAATCAAACAATTGCACTTGAAATTTCTGAT